TCACTTGGCGTTTCCAATTGGCGTCAGTTGGCACAGAGGAGAAACGAGTTGCTGAACTCGGCCAAAATCGCTTAGGCGGTTACAGCGCCAAAAAAGAAGAAGAATTGATTTTTCTTAAAATTTCAGGCAATTTTTGTGCCGAAAAATGTCGCCTTTTCATTGCCTCTCTCTTCTCGCGTACGATTCTAAAATAAAGGTAAATGGTGAAAAAATTTCGTGTTCAAACGCATTTTGCACCGTCGGAGGGCAACATGTTTTGAATGAAACGAAATCACCATTAAATTTATTTGAATAAATGGAATTATTGGTCTGAAATTTCAAGAAAAAGCAATTACATAATAAGTTTTTGTTCATATGTCCCGCTGTTTGGTGTGGTTTTTGGGCAGGCGGAGTGATCGGACGGTAGGTACTTCATCGAAAGTGATGCCTTTAACGGTGTAGCGGACGTTATCGTAGCATGATAGCAAACTCATTATGGCCTGAATCAGATGACGTGTACTTGAACAATATGTGGTTTCAATAGCTTGGTGCCACTTGTCACACAGCGCTTGAAATAATGGCCCTATTGCGAATATCTGCGGTCTTATTGAAGTTATACGAAAGTTGACACAGGTACACAGTTAAATTCTATAGTTCGAAACTACTTCCGTTGTTATGCAAGAAAGCCTTAACAAATCTCAAACTCGGTGCGTAATTGAGCACAAGGATATTATAACATCGATCACCTAACGGTTGCTTATAACAACCTAAAGGAATAGAATAGTTAAAGACATATTTACATATATCAAAATGATCATAATGAAGTGAGAAATCAATTATGCTATGCCTGTTTGTCTGTCCGTCCGTACACGCGATATCTCGAGATAAATATGAGATATCCTTAAAAGTCTTGACATAAGTGAAAAATGCGCTTAAATTTTTTGGGCCCTCCTGTTCTTCGCGAGCTTGGGTAGCTTAGACAAAATACATTACAAGATCGGCTAAGGTTCAGGATGGCATAAAGACATGTAGGGTGAGGCAGCACTCAGCTTGGCATGACATTGGGCCGGTGTGGCCTTTTTTAAAAGTCTGGATACAAAAAGAAACTCAATGTTTGGTTTTTTCGTCAATTAATTGCGGGAATTGTGGTAAACATTTTTAAACTAAATGTAATTGAGTCAGTTGTGGAGCGTATGGTTCCTGGCCATAACGTGCAAAACAGGTCATGAGGCAAAAACGATGAAACTAGGCAAACAGTTCCGAAACAAGTAGTGACCTACCGTAATTTATTTTGTTCCATCAGACATAAGTTCTATGACTCAAAAAAGCCAAGGGAGATATTCGAATAACCCATATTAACCGGATATGCGGATAACAAAATTAATAGATATTAACCCTTTATCCGCATTTTATTCGTTTACACGTCTAACGGATATACGAATATGCGGGCAGTCCCAGCAGTACTATATATGTACACTGCCGGAAAAAAGTATTGGCACAAAAAATTTTTCACAATATATGCAAGAATTTTTTTTTATATTTTTCCCCCAATTTTTTATAAAAATATGGTTCATTCTACAATGAAAAACATTAAAATAGGATTCCTAAATTTTATGCAAAACTCACGAAAATTCAGAAAATTTTCATGCAAATTTTCAACTTTTTAATCAGATTTTTTGAGTATGCAGATTTGTAGCCCAATCAATTTTATTATAACAAAGTACAAGTTTTAAGTAGCTAGGAATTACCGTTGATTTTTTGGCAACTTTTTTCACGCAGTCTCTTCCGTACAAAATAATTTTCGAAAATACTTTCTATAGACAAAATGCAAAACAACTTAAAAAAATTTCAAAAATCAATTTGATTTTTGACCATCTTTTCACTTGCAGCTTTTTTTACTACAATTTAATGAGCTACAAAACTGCGTACTCAAAAAAATTCTGAAAAATCCGAATAAAAAGTTGAAAATTTGCTGAATTTTTGGGAGTTTTGCACAAAGCTTAGGAATTATATTTTTATATATTTTTTTGTAAAATGAACCATATTTTATAAAAAATTGTCGGAAAAATATTAGAAAAAAATGTATGCATATATTGTGAAAAATTTGCTGTGCCAATACTTTTTGCCGGCAGTGTATATTAGTATAGTCCAAAAATGCATGTGACAAAGTAAAGTCGGAATTTCTATACTTTTTCTGAATTTTACTGTTAGTCAAAGTACCTGTCAACAACACCCACTGCAATTACGGCAAATTTTACGCTCAAATAAAACGTTTTCAAAAAGAATGACATTTATTGCATTTAATTTTTGCATGGCATACCATGAAAATGCAATGGCATAATGCCAAAGCTCATAAATGTTAAAATAATTACATTATTTACACATTCGGTTAGCTGAGTGGGCCAAGAGACATTTACACATGTAAAAATATTTTGAAAGGAGAATTATTTACAACATGCAACTGAATTTACAAGTACAAGTTTTTCTTTTTTTATAAGGTGTCATAAACTGTACGCACACTCATACACATACCTGTGTAGTATGTGGGTACATAAACATTTCGTATATGAGGTATTCCACAGTCACGGGTGGGACATTTTCACTGTAAAAATGTACTTTATTTTTAAAATTTAAGTATAAAGTACTGAACAATTCTATATTTTGATAAAGCTGTAAAAAATTCCAACCTACTTTTATATGGGAAAAAATCTGAGTTATTTCTTCTTTCACGGGTAGGACATAAAAAAAACGAACCTGCTTTTGGAGCAGATATATTTTACGGAAACTCTGCGAATTTATTTCACTTTATTTGCACTAAGGTTCAGTTTCTCATGGAACCTACCATACGTCTATGTATTTCGAACCACCTTCAAGAAACCATGAATGTTATATCTACTTGCAGTATATAACGGTAATATGTACATATGTACGTATTGCTGATAATTAATGTGTGTATATTTTTATATTCGAAATTCAACTTTCAATGTATCGAGAATATTCTTATTTGATTTTAATTAATGCAGTGAAAATATGTATACAAAAAGCTACGTGTGCATGTATTTTCGTGTGTTTGAAATGACCTAATTCATATAATTAAAAATCATTCCAAATTTCGAAAGAGAATATAAAATAAAAAAAGAAACTTATACCAAAGTATACTTGGAAGTCACAGAGGCGGCGGCGGCAGGTGCCTAATTTGCGAACGCACAACGGCAAAAAGCTGAGGTGCAAGGCGAGTGCGGCGTATAAAATATACATACATATATGTATATACTTTGTTATATGTGTATGTATCGAGTAAACGCATTCATTTCTGTATGTACTCGTATATAAATACATAAATGTGCAGCAGAAATGGAATGTTCACACACACCGGCGTGGTGGTATTCTCACATTCTCAAGCAAATATATACTCGGCACAAAGTGCGCGCAGGTACATTAGACCGAGTAGGCAAAAAAAAAAAAAGGATTTAATTATCCGCGCTAGTTTGAAAGTTTATTTAGAGAGAATTTTGGCTTCATACAGATTTTTGTTCTTGACATGTCCTAAAGGCCAAGTTTTCTTCACGAGTGTTGCAGAACCCTCTGTAAACCCGAAAACTATATTTTTTTGAAATTTTGAAATCAACGGGGTTTTTAAATACTCCCATAACGGGTTTTTAAAGTGCGTATATGTAGTAGGAAAAAATTGAAAGCACATACTTTCTATATTATTGTTGGGATGTAGCGAAAGTTTCGAGATATAAAAAATCGCCATATACTTTTAAAATTTGATCGCGCCTATTGTAATAATATGTAAGTTTACTGGTTATATAAACAACTTTTTGACTTTGGATTTTATGGCCATTCTCGGACTAAACTTAAAACAATGATATGTTAAAACTTTTTTAAATAAGTTTTTTTTTTAATTTTTCGAAGATCTGACCTTTGACCCCGTATAGCACCTGTAATATAAGTTTGCACTAAAAATATGTAATTTTACTTTTTTAGTTGCTTACATACAAATAAAATATTTTTTTTTACTAAAGATACAATTTCGAGCTTCGAAGGTCCATATCTTGTTTTCGGAGGCTAACTATGAAAAACGGAGAAATAACTTTTTTACTTATGAGTCAATCTCATCAAAACAATTTGTTTGGTCCAATACCCAGAAAAAAAAGTTGATTTAGCCGTATAGTGCATTGTATTGGCGCTTACACATACATACATATGTTAGTGTTTGACCAAGAGAAGGGACCTACAGTTTTATGCCGACTCGGAGGTTTGCCATTGCCTGTCGAGGGGGCGACCGCTGTTAAGAAAAAACCTTTTCTCTTTATTTTTTTGCGATGTTGCTTTGAACAGTGCTTGAACCCAGGCCCAGTATGCACTTCTAACCACTACACCACAGCGGCCGCCAACGCACCACCCTAATGCCAGTAAATTAAAGCTCACCAAAAATGATAAAACTTTTGCTAAGGAAGCATTTTATTACTGCCGAATGTAGGTGTCACCGAAAAATTTAAAAAGACGAGCTCTAGGTCCGCCAAAAAAAGTTGTATTTCCAAATCGGCTAGCAAAATTACTTTAAAACTCAGAGGTGTTCGGCGATTTTTTATTTTTTGTTTGCTTTTAAGGTGGTACGGTCTAATGTGCAATTATTTACATAGATATTTATGTTCGAATCGCCGGCCAAAGTGTGATCCAGCGCGAATTTATAAGGTATTCATCGCATAAACATCAATTTCTGGGAAGAATAAAAATTCTAATAGCCGGTGAAATTGAAAGACCAAGGCAGAGGGATTGGGTAGCCATCGATGCTTCTAAGAATCTAAACAACGGAAAATGTATTTAAATGCTTTTCAAAAATAAACTAAATGACACATGGACATAAACATGGCTGTGAGTCACGGAAAGACACACACTCACATAAA